GGGGGTGGAGGATTTGTTTTGGTCACATGGTTTTCAGAGGGAACGAAGAGGGATCAGTCGTCGCCAACAGAGAAAAAAAGGAGGGGGAAGGGATTAAAGAAAATTGATCATAAGAATATTACTGAGCAATAATGGAGAACCAGGAAAATTAAATCGTGACAGCCCCGGCGATAAAAAAAATGACTGAACCCCCAACAAACACAATTTCAGCCCTGACCGAATTTTGCGTGACAAAACCTCGTGGTAGCCCCTAACATGTGACATGACTGAGGACATTTCATGGAATAAGTTATTTTTAATGCAGTGAAAGACTCCCTTCAAAAATTGTCATTCTTTATAGCACGTTATCTTTCTCGATTGAATAGTTCGTTCAAAACCTACAATGTTCGCAATCTGTTAACGAGGGATCGATGGAGTAAGCTCGCGGAACACTGACAATGAAATATTCCAGTTATTTCATGGTTCTTTGTCTCGCCCATTCAAAATGCCCCGTTTTTATTTTCCAGTTAAGACTATCTCCTAAAACCACTACGATGCCAAAGAGCATTAAGGTTTACGTATCTCTTTGACACAAAGCCTTGACATAAACGGAGCTCGCTTCGTCTCCAGATCCTACTTGAGTCCATTGGCCTGGGTAGGTCTTGTAAGAAACACATTTCAGTGTATGGTCGCAAATTCTTGCAGCAAACTAAACTGCTCGAGGTTGCTAACAGAAATCGTCCGGCGAACTTCAATAACAATTGAACGCACCTGTGTAAATAAGAATAAAATCACATTAAGAATCGTGCTAAAGGAGAATTGCCTTCGTCTATGGTTTTCTAGGCTTGCAGTCCTCTTCAGTCAGGTCTCGTGAAGGGACAACGAAGAGAATGGACTCGTCGAAAGCTCAACACACAAATATCCGGCGAAAGGAACCAATGAGAGCTCGAAGAAACAAAACAAGAAACTGCTTCAAGCGCGGGAAAACGCGGCGGTGTGACCACGTTACAATTGGTTGTAGTTTTGATTAAGAGTGTGGCGCGAGTTTTCTAGAGCAATCACAGAGCGAAGTAAAGCAAAGCCAATAACATCCCGATTTACTACGACACTGTTGAAAGATCCACCTAAAAATTACGCCTAAAGTTAATCATTAAATAGTACATACGCACCAGCTGAGTAAAGAAAGCCGCCTCTTTTGGTTTCTCTGAATATTTTTCGTAATGATCCAAACTGTCTTGGAGTTTCAGCGTCAATGTGTCATAATTACTACGTATTACACCCAATACCTGAAATAATAAATTATCATACACCGTTAGATACTTTTAAATGCTTAGCAATTTGCCCACCTTTTTGTGCCAGACGATTCACGGGTCAACGTCAGTATGTGATAAATTCCGCACTCACCCCTCTCCTAACTCAACAGAAGTCAACTGAGAACAGGTTAGGGTAGTTTGGGTGTAGGGGAGGAGTAAGTGCGCAGTTGCTCAGATGCTGACAATAACCACAGTTCTAGCCAACCGATTAATTTTGGCGCGATTTTATTGGTTACTTTAGGTCACGTGGTGCAAAATCACAGGACAGTTATCACGCAATAACAACCTGTCCGCGTCGATATTTTTCCTCCAATTTTTTCCGTGAAAAAGAAACATAGCCAACACAAGATTTTTAACTTTTCCGTTCTCCTATTTACATGGAAGGAAACCAAACTCCTTTTTTTTTTTGCTTGCTTGCTTGCGCCAATCACGCGTATTCGCCATCAGATCGCCACTGGCTTTTTCACTGTGTTTACGCGCAGTTTAATTGCGATGTGAAAATTAATTGGAAGGTTATAAAATAAATAAACCCCATTCTGGCTTGCTGGTATGTCGGCTGATAATGTCCTTGGCTGAGAGATTGTCCTCAAAATTTTATATTTGCCCTCGAAGCTTCACTTCACGGCCAAATATTCATTTTTCGGACAATCTCTCAGCCGCG